TGAAAAGTAGAGCCTACCTGTACAGGGTTCCACTCCAACAGCTGATATAGTGTGTCCATGCTTGACTGCTTCAAGGCTCAAGAGATATAGGATAAGACTCTGCGTGAGTAAAAGACACTAGCGGTCTGCACCTCTACCGTGTACGCCCTAGTCACTCTTTCAGTGGTAGCGGAGCAGTGATCCTGGAAGACCCAGGTGAGCTCCTTTCCTAGGCATAGAATTGCTTGTGGGCAAACGGCCATGGATTGGATTGACGACTGGGAAGAGCCTGATGCGGATGTGGCTTATGAGCCAGCAGCCTATGTGAATAGGCATGTGAGAAGAGAACCAGCAGCGATAGCTATGACAACACAGGTCACTACAAAGGTGCCCCCATCTTATGATGGAAAGACTTCATGGTTTTCCTATGAGGATGCCATAGACGATTGGTGTGATACCACCGAGCTGGAGGATGAGAAGAGAGGACCAGCATTGAGAAACCGACTAGAAGGAGAAGCAGCTGTATACAAGCGTGTTTTAGACAGAGATGCATTGAAGGCAAATGATCCACCAGGAGCCGGCGTAGAATATTTCAAACGAGTACTACGACCATATTTCGTGAAAGGATCAACCAATGTATTCCTGTATAGGTTCATGCAATTCGCGCGCTTCAATCGAGGATCAGCTGACATGATGAAATGGATGACAAGATTCCAGATTTTACTCCAAAGGCTTATGAGCAGTTGGATGGACATGCTAGAACCAGTCACTCAAGCACATCCACAAGTCCTAGCTCAGATGCAGGCAGATGCAGCGTTGACTGGAGTAGCACCAACGGCAGAAAGGATTCAGGAAATCATGCAGACCATCAATGGCAATATGAGGACTTTTCATCAGAACGAATTTCCTCTAGGAGAAAATCTGATTGCCTTACTCATGCTGTCACTTGCAGATTTGTCTCGGGGCCAGCGAAACACTTTGACTTCTTTGATGACTCATCGTGGCAGGGTCCTGCAGCAATATACTACAACAGAGTTGAGGACAGTGTTCATCGAGATGTTCTGCACGACAAAGACTTCAGTAGACAATCCTTTGATGCAGCCGACAGGTGCTGGAGGTAGAAGATCATTTCTCGTACTAGACGAAGGAGAACTCGATGGTACATTTGGCTATTGGGCCGAAGATGAAGAAGATGGAACTGAAGGATTTCTAGATGCCCTGGACGATGTCTTTTGGGTATATGATGATCAAAACTTCTCGTGGTTCCAAAGGAGATTCCAAGGAAGAAGAGCCAGAAAAGGCAAAGGAAAAGGTAGAAGAAAAGGAAAAGGTAAAGGAAGATCAGGCCGCAGATTCTTCAGACCTCGTGGAAAAGGAAAAGGAAAGAGACGAGGTAAAGGCCATTTTGCTGATGAGCAACAGACAACTTATCCAGATGAGTACTTTGAAGAGAATCCTTATGAGGACACTTGGGAGTCAAACCAAGTAGCATATGATGCCATTCTTGCCGAGGATATGAATGACTATCTTCAAGGAGGATATGATGATGCCAATGACTTTTGGCAACAGCTTAAAGAAGCATGGTTTTCCCACAAAGGAAAAGGAAAAGGCAAGAGAAAAGGCAAGAAAGGAAAAGGAAAAGATAAAGGAGATGGCAAACAAGATGCAAACTATGCAAATCAACAACAGCCACGTTCTTTGCCTGCACCTTCAAGATCTTCACAAGCATCAGGAGGTCAACAAGGTTTCTTTGCACATTGTGTGACAGCAGCAGCTGAAGTCCATGACAGTGAGGTGGACTTGCTGTCAGGCATGATGACCTCATGTCAAGATGAAGCTGACTGCGCGGTCAACAATGGTGAGACGATCTTCAATGGCATGAGTGCCCCTGTGAGGTACTCTTTGTCAAAGGAGATGCTCACAAAGGCTCCTGATGGCTTTGCGCTTATGAGCGCTGAGGAAGAAGTGAAGGAGATGCAGGCCATTTCATTTTTGACTGAGAATCGCTTCCCGCCGACTATTGCAATCCTGGACATTGGATGCACTAGAGCTATGGGATCAAGGCGAGCAGTCGACCATTTTTGCAACTATGTCGACAATCACCCAGATTGTGGATTGTGGTACTCTTTTGAGGCTACCAAGAGCAAGTTTTACTTTGCCAATTCCCAGAAGGCTACTTGCTCTCAGAAACTGGTGATTTACATGTATGATCGTGCATGGACGATCCACCATACAGAGTTCGACATAGTGGAAGAAGGAGAAGTCCCTTTGCTTATGAGCTTGCCACAGATGAGGAACTTAGGCTTTGAACTCAGGCTGACACCTCAACATGCTTATCTGACATCGGTGCCTCTTGGTATCAAATATTTGGAGTTGAAGGTTGCAGCCAGTACTCATCTTGTCTTGGACTTCCAAGATATTGCATGGTATCTGTCTGACGTGAATTTGCAGACTCGGCGCGAGAAGAGTTTTTACTCTCACTTCACTCACTATGAGTATGGTCATATTTCTGTTGACCTCAATAGTGATGAAGATGTAGCTGAACATGCATATCCTGTGGTTGACTACTGGGAAGTAGATGTTCACAAGAGAGAACTGATACGTCGCCACAAGGATTATAGAAAGATTCTTTTCCCAGCAACTAAGTCCTGTCCTGTAGACACTGACCTACTGGAAGACTTGCGATTGACAATCATCAAGAAGAAGAAAGGAGGAGAAGAGATCAAGAAGCAAGATGATTGGCGCAAGGCAAAATGGAAGGACCTACAAATTGGCTATGAATGGCGTGGTAGAACAATTTTTAAGTTTAAACCAGATGCCAAAATTCCAGATCTAAAGATCAAGAAGGCTGGCATTGAGCACCGTGGCATTGGTGATCCCGATGCAGTGGTGCGCTCCTCCTCAGAGAAGGTTCCCATTGCAAAGGACAGGGAACCAGGCTTCTCGTCAGAGAAGGAAGGTGCACCAGCCAGTGCCGCGGAAAAGCCCGTGCCGCCAAAATTCCGGTATACTTCCAAGGGTTTTGATCCATTTTGGAAAGGACACAAGTCGAAACCATCTGAGCCTCAGAATGATTTAAAGGGTGATGATCTTGAGGAGTATGTTCCCTCAGAACCACCTGAGAGGCCAGAAGGTGAACTTGTAGAAATTCCTAAAGCATCAAAAGGACCATCAAGTGATAAACATGAACCACTTGAACCAGGTGATGGCGCTCTTGAGCCTAGGCGGATTTCAATCCCATTACCTGGTAGTGAAGTTGTTGCAATGACACCGGCATATAGGAAGATGTTACAGAGACTGGAGGACAAGGTAGAGCTTTATAAGCTTCATGTGAAGCACTACCATATGAGTCCTACTCAGTTTCGTAGACGTGTTTCTATGTTGAAGCTCCCTGACTCTGTTTTAGAGAAGTATGAATCAGTTGTCAGGAACTGCCGTGTTTGTAACACTTCAGTGGCACCTCCGCCGCGAGCCAGAGTCTCCGGTATTAGAGCTTCATGTTTTGGTGATGTTGTTTTTGCTGATCATTGTGAGGTTGAACTTCACAAGAACAAGTATATCATCTTACTTGTTCTTGATGGTGCCACAAATCTTCTCTGGGCTACGGCACAGAAAGACCTCATAGATCAAACCACCATCCAAGCATTGAGGCAATGGTCTGATGAGAACAACTGTGTTCCAAAGGCCATCGTAGGAGACGAAGCCTTTTTCACAGATGCTTTTGTTGAATACTACAGGTTCCATGGTATACAACAATGTCCTTGTGGGCCAAGAACTCCTTGGCCGAACCGAGCAGAGACAGCTGTACGTTTGTTCAAACGTATGTGGCATGTTATGAAGGTAGATCTGGATGACCCACGTTTTCGTGGTGTTACGGTCAGAGAAGTGGTCAAGAAGGTAGTTTGGGCAAGAAATTGTCAGTTGACTATCAGTGGATATTCACCAATAGAGATAGCAACTGGAAGACGTCCACCAGATCTTTTTGACCTTGAGACCGCAAGCCCTGAGCAATTGTCAGCTAATGCCGCCGCACAAGATCGTACAAATTTGGAACTACAACGTGTGGCTTTGAGAGCTCATCAAGAAGCACGACAAGCTCAGGACCTTCGAGCAGATCTTGCAAGAAGGACTATGCCAAGCGACGGTCCTTATTTCCAAGGAGAGAAGGTTTTTGTTTGGACTCAGGATTCATCAAAGTTCAAGGATAAAGGACGTTGGGTTCGTGCCACAGTACTTGGACAAGAAGGAGCTATGGTCCAAGCCAACACTGGTAAGGCAGTAGTACGTGTGAATCAGTCGAAGGTTAGACGTGATCACGATGAGTGGCATGATGTTTCCATACCGGCATTAGACGATGAGAATCCGGAGAACTTACGTGAAGATCACGAACTGTATGTTGATGCCGAATTTGGAGAACAGTCCTTTTTCTTCTGTAATGATGATCATCCTGATGTTGTTGAGTTACTTCATGGAAACAGTGGATTATCTTGGTTCCTTTCAAAGAATGGTGTTAAAGTTGCATCTCCTATGGATTTCAAGGCAGGATACAACTTTTCCACTATGAAGGGTCAAGATGGTATTTGGCAGCAACTGGAGAGATTGCAGCCCCACTGTATAGTGATCAACAACCCTTCTCCCAAACAGAACAGAGCTTCTATTTGGTTGCTATGTTGTAATGTGATT